TCCTTCGTTTGTATGCCTGTTGAGCAGTGCAATGCATTTATTTTGCGCTGGCAATCATTGAGTTCGTGGGGCACCCATTTGTCAATCTTTTTTATATTGCGAATTTGACACAAAATGGACCAATATTGCTAATTCAGCCGTAGATTTAGTATCATCGGCTTCCACAATCGCCTTTAATTCGTTATTGTCGACCAAAGTTTTCGGACGATCACGGAGTTCATTTTTCAGGTCGAAATTTCCAGAACGGAAGCGGGCAAAATAATAACAGGTGGTGTGCTCATTTGTAGTTTTAGCTCCGTAAACGTCGTTGAAGTTGCGTGCTTGTGCCACGTTGCTGCCACAAAGCTGCTCATATTTCATAGTTACTTGTAAACGTAGTGGTTATATTCTCTTTGGTTACTTGATTTTCTACGTATCCATGACAACCAAAAAGATTCAAGTGCGATGAAAACATAATGTTACTCAATAAACAAACGACTAAAATAATTCCATTTTTTTAAAATAAAATTAATTTGAAATTAGAATTCTTTGCCAAACAAAAATTACTTTGATGAGAAATGGCCAGTACTGCAGAACTGCAATTTTATAGGTATATTTGCATAGTTCAAAAAGGGTTTTTGGAAGTTTACTTGTGTTTTAGATAAATATGTAACATACAGTTAAATTCTTTAAGATAATTCATCATATTAAACTTTATTTAACATATTCATTTATTTGAACCAACATAAGTAGGTACATGCGTAATTTATCAGCAAACTGACGCACGTCAAACATGTGTTAAGAAGCTAATTCCAACAAGAATTTGACATAACAAAATCAGAAAGGCGAAAATTCAAATTGGATCATGTCAGTTCGAGATGGAAGTTGTAACATACTTCCATCTCCCTCCTACGCACCGGTAAGTGAATTATTCTGACTTTTAAGAGGGCGATGTGATTATTATATTCGACAGGGTAATTTGGCGACAGGCGGCAGTGTCAAGCCAATCTTATTAAAGATGTAAATGAATATGGAATGAATCCATTATTTCATAAACAAGCCCTTGGCCGGGGTGATAATATTGTAGGGAACAAGCTGCCTAAATTATAATGAACGTCATATTACGAAGCTGACACAACCTTTTATGTAGGTACTTGTTATTATTTATAAATATTTGAGTTATTGTCGCTTAAAGCAAACGTACCATTATGCAAAATATTCTTTTTAAGAATAATGCCTAACTGCCATTAAGTCTAGTGCTGTCTCTATCACTTTAAATCAAAGTGTTTGTGACACCACGAGACTTAACGACATCTTAAAATTCTAGCTTTTGAATATTTGGCCATAAGCGTGACAAACGAGCACACAGTCCACCTAATGGTAAACGGATGCTGTGAATCATAGACGTCTACATCTATCCTGTATGCAAATGCGTTGTGACCCCGGAGAACACCTCGTTTTCAGTACAGAAGGTCTCCGATTAATCTACACTGACCATACGAAATACAGCAGCATATTTTGTGAGAGCGTGGTTCTTCCCCGGTCGAGCTAACCCATTTTTTATGCAACTATAATATAGCTGCAGGACTTTACTCTTAATATTTATTTTATGTAAAAAGTAAATACTCTTCTTTAATATTATTTGATTTAAATCCCATTGTATAAATCATGTAACTATTATGTTAAATATTTTTCAAATAAATTAATAGATATATCAAATAAAGATTTTAAGATAATATCGAGCACTTCCTCTATTCATTATATTTATTTATTAACTTTACTACCACAATGAAGAACGTTACTAGAATTTAATGTTTTTGGCACATTTCTCTCTCTCTCTCTCTCTCTCTCTCTCTCTCTCTCTCTCTCTCTCTCTCTCTCAGTTAATTTAAGACGTGACAAATGTTGTTTAGACTGTCCGCGAAATAGACACAATAGTTAAACAAGCGAAAATTTCATGAATGACTCACGGTCAGGGGCGTTATATTGTTTATCTAGCAGCAGAATCGTGATATGTTAAATAACTATTTTTTTACTAAGAATTTTGGCTTTAATGCTTGTCCTTTAAGCCATGTCTTCTCATTTATCTCAGTATCAAGTGATAATAATCTTTTATAGTACACTGCTTCACTATATGTTGTTGCGTCACATTGTTGTTATTAGAAGATTTTGACTGCAACTTGAGCCAGCAGACAGTTGGCGATAGTATCTCAAGTCTCCTAAGGAGACAGACAAGGTGTCTGTCTCCTTAGGAGACTTGAGATCTTGAAATTCACATCACCATTGGAGCATTTTTTACCGTTTCCACTAATAGTTCACATGTTCCATAGTTCATGCACAAAATTGCACCACTTTTACATATCAAAAACCATTTTTTAACCAATGGTACAGGAGCAACAATCCGCGAGTTTGACTTGACCCGTTCTTTCCCAATAAAAAATAGGCCTTTCCTATATCAATATCCTCATAGGGGGATTTTGCCATAGTTGCCGCGCTTGGTTAGAGACGTTTGGAGGGTTAGAAACCCCAGTTTTTTATAATTTTAAGTTCTTATCAAAAAGGTGTTGCTGCCTATCTCCTGTTTCAATTAACCTGTGTCACATTCACACTGCCCTCCACGACACACATGGGACGATACTTATTATATTATTGTGGATATTCTTACACCGCCACTAAACGATTAAAATAATGATCAACTCTATATATTTCCGTAACATGGCCGCTATTAAGTCGGGATGTATAATAAATGCAACACCATATTTTCGTCTGCATTACGCAGGGTGTTATTTATTGGCTTAAAATTGTAGTCATCGCATACATTATGTATGACGGAGGTAATAACCCCTCGGCGTCAAGACGCCCGTCCGCAGTGCGAGGCCGGCGTGTAACAGATTAAAAATTAATTTGTTACCTGTCATATGCGAGTGCGCCTCGCGTTTCAAATGCAATGGCGAATATGATTTATCTTTTGGTTTTGCTACTTCCATCTATTAAGATAATAGGTATTAAAAAATATATAATCTTTGATTTAGCCAAAATTTATGTTTTAATATATTAAAATAGCACTTTAATATATAATTATTTTTACGTTGCGAAAGTTGACCATATTTATTTTTAGGTACGTAAAAATAATTGTCTTTCACCATTTCCCTTTACACTAAGTTAACCCAGAAAAAAGTACTGAAGTAACGCACTTAAAAAAAATTAACGAATTGAGAACCTCCTCCTTTTTACAATCAGTTAAAATGGTTGTAAGGATTCTAGTTTAATCCTCGTGACGGTATAAAAGAATCCAGTATTGAAAATAGTTCCCTGACGACACCCACAGAATATTATGTTCTTCTTTATTCACCTGAAAGAGTCGAAAACTGGCCACGAGACCCTCCCATTATATAAAGATGTTCCCTAAACATAACAATTACCTTTGACTCTGCTTTTCATCACAGAAAAATAAATACTCAGCGTAATTATTTTTACATCTGCCATAAACGAGATAGTTGTAACAGCATCTATCGGGTGCCATAAAATCTTTATGGCGATTTTTCAGGACCGACACAATTTAGAATGTGCTCTTAATGATTTTTTATATTTACACGCACTACATATTGAAATAAAACGAATTTTACGGATTTTATCGCGCCCGGAATTAAAATAGGTAAAAGCATTTAAATTAAACTCGATAAAATCCGTAAAATTATATTTATTTCAAGAGCCTGATCTTTTTTGAAAAGCGTATCGGCGTATTAAAAACCACCTGCGATTCTTCTGGTTTTGCCGATGTTAATGGCCGGTGGTAGTTACTTGATGGTAAGTAACTAGCGAAGTGTGTTAATTTCTATTTAAATATATTATGTGAGATACTCCGCGGCGACTAGTCTTTCAAACTACCGTAGGATACTAGTCATCTATGTGTATAGTAATGGGAGAAGGGCCTAACATAGTATTTGAGAACAAATATTTGTCACGATTTAAGTGTCTACTCTCAACAGGTGAATATAGAATTGGTGTTTGTTCTACGTTAGACGTTTCTCAAATATTTTTTAAGCAATAAAGTTAACGGCTTAGTAACCCATTGCCTAGCAATTAGTTCGGCGCTTTGTTTGGTATGGCCTACAATTTTTTTGTAAATATGAGGCTACAGGTGCGTTGTCTAAGGACAAAGATATGCCTTTAAGTCTGTCATTATACGGTCTCTTTACACCCTACACATATGAATAGTGTAAAGAATGCACAGATGCTTGGCTTCAGAAAATGGTCGGTTAGACTTCTAGAAAAAAAGGGGTCCTATCACCTGGTGATTTGTAGTTTATAGTCTAGAATCTAGAAAACGTACATCTAGACTTTAAATTTACATTTATGTGCATTTTATGTATGTCGAATGTCTCGACGATACCATAAATAATAATACCGTACTGTAATATTATTTTGTCTATACATATAAATGAAACTGAAGTGTCTGTCTGCAATATTTTATTAACTGTTAAGCTCAGGGCGTTATTTGCATGTTATTAAGACATACTCGTAAATAACTAGTTAATTAATTTAAAATTTTGTACAACCGACTTCAATATAAATTATTAAGAATAACTCAAAAACTATTAGTCAGACCTTGATCAAATTTATATGGGACCACATGGAAAGAATCAGCTTTCAAATAAAATTATCGAAATCGGTTCACCCAGTAAGAAGGTATGAAGGTAGGTCTGGTAATGAAGGTAATACACATAAAAAAACATACAGTAGAATTGAGCACCGGCTCCTTTTTGAAGTCGGTAGAAAAATTGTCTGTTTGTCTGTCCGTCCGTTCGGGCTAATCTTCGAAATGGGTTTTTTATAGGAGAGGGGGCAAACTAGTATACGGCTCACCCGATGGTAAGAGTACCAGTGGTGGATCGCCAAGCATCCAGATGGTGTGGATGGTATCGGGAGTTTTGCCGCGATGTGCGTTCGTGAAATTTGGCGGCTGGAGTTAATCCGAACAATTCCTCATAGCACTCTCCGTGGAAAATGCGAAAAAAAATTCAAAGGGATGCAACATGTCTTCGCAGCGCCAGTGATTCGGGGCGATCAGAAAGTACTCGGTCGTCGAAGATTCCAGCCGCTCGTGCCCCAGCCCAGAGATGGGAACAGTATTCCATATGAGGCCGAACCTGCGCCTTGTAAAATTGCAGGCGCTGTGCCGGCAAGAAATACTGTCCCTCTCTGCTGAGCACGCCAAGCTTTTTAGAGGCCAATTTGGCCTTCTCTTCAAAGTGACCACGAAACTGCACGTCACTCGATATGTCGATGCCGAGGATTCCGATACTGGCTGAGGTAACAAGGAGAGTGCCTTGAAACTGAGGAGATCTGACAAAGGGGTTCTTTTAAGCGGTAAACGCGCAAACTTGTGTCTTCTGAGTATTAAACTGGACTAGATTTAGTCGCCTCAATCCGAGACTTTGTTCAGCAAATACTCAACTTCAGACACAAGTTTGTTTCGGTACTCGGAGATTTCCCGAAAAATATTGGCACGGCCGTTGTATAGAGCATCACCAGTGCTGTCATCTACATAGCAATGAATGTTACCTCTTCGCAACACATCATTGATATGCAGAAGAAACAGCGTTGGTGATAGCACCAAGTCTTGTCAAACACCAACATTAATAGGCTTGTAATCGGAGCATGCACCGTCATCTGCAAGAAAGCTAGTGATCAAATTGCATAATTTCTCGGGAAACCCATAGGAAAGGAGCTTCGAAAGAAGCTCATTGTGCCAAACCCGGTCGAAGGCCTTCGGAATGTCCAAACTAACGGCCAATTCTTCTCACTTGGACTCTACTGCCTCCGCGTATCTATGACCCAGGTAGACGAGAAGATCACCCGCTGACCGATCCCGATGAAAACCGTATTGGTGGTCACTAATCGCGGTCACTACAGCATGAGCTGGCGGTTTATAATGGCATTCATTATTTTGGAGGACAAGGAGGTGATAGCGATAGGCCTGTAGTTAGACGGGTCTGAGTGATTGCCTTCTTTAGGAATTGGATGGACAAAAGCCGTCTTCCATGATTTCGGGACTACGCCTAAGGAGTACTGAAAAAGACTCGTTAGATCCGGTGCCAATCACAAAACACGTCCTCAGCACAATCGGGGGGATTCCGTCAGGCCCACTCGAGGAGTGCTTTGCGAACCGAGCGCTGTGTGAACCACACATCCGACATGAGCACTCACACCGCGGGATTGTCGGCGGTGTATTCTCCCCATCATCGAGAGTCGAGTTGGACGCACAGAAAGAGCCTAGCAGATCTCCTTTCTCCTTTGTGGCATGGGCCAGTGAGTCGTCCTCCCTGTGCAGAAATGGAAGAGATGGCTAACAGAAGTTTCCTTGGACAGCCTTGGCGAGAGACCAGAATGCAAGGGTTCTCGAAGGTAGGCGAACTAGTTTCTCGCCAATTCTGCATATGTGCTCTAACTTTGCCTTGGTATTGACTCTTTTGAAGGACCTGCAGGCAGACCCTTCTTTTTAAGGGTGCTGGTGTTTACATCCCGGGACATTGATGCGTCAGCCCAGGCCAAGTAGCATTCCTGCTTGTAGCGTGATGCTATTTTACAGGAGCGACTAAACCAAGGCTGAGATTTGCCTCCGATGGGCACCATAGAGGAAGGAATAAAAAGTTCCATACCCTGAAGTACCACATCAGCAACATAATTAGCAACAACGTTGGGATCGTCCGGCGAGAAGCATCGGTCAGAAAGGTAGTAGACAGACTTTAGGTTCTAGTGAAGTCTCCTGATGTTGCAGAAGTTCACGGATAGCGTTGCAGGGGTCGCCTTGGTCTTGTTGCTCAGTTTGCCCCGAGTAGTTATTGTTTTGAGCGGTATTTTGCCCCCCTCTCCTAAATACGCGGGGCAGCCTGAGCACTCACGCTCAGGAGTGGAGTAGCCTGATCGGGGATGCTCAGCGAGAGATTCACCAGGGGTGCTACTACCCTAGTGTGATAGTCCCCACGAGAGTACCAGTATTATAATTTCATCTAATTCTGCTACCATGTTGAGGGGGGGGGGGATCGGGGCTCCGGCCACCTGCACTCACCAGACGAAGCGCAGAAGCAGAGCTTCCACTTCACGCCGGTATTCTGTGAGGTCGTGGTACCAACCCGGCTCGAGCCGGCCCATACGTGCAACAGCAAAAGCTGCCGCGTGGCTCTTCTACCGTTGCACCGTTTGTGATAAAACTTTACAAACCAAATGGAGAGCAAGGTATCTAGGCAATATTTTATCCGAAAAAGTGAAAAACAAAACATTGCCGAAATAAATGGTATCTTATTAAATCTATATAACGTCACAATAATATACACTATCCAGGCAAATCCGGAACGGATCGCTACTCATAAAATAAATAAAGTAAGATAATTGATTCATTTACGTTATATAATTTACCATCCGAAATGCGAAAAAAATTATATTTACATCCGCAACAAGAAACGACAGCACAATTACCAAAACGCCCTTAATTTATTACAAATGTAAATGTAGAATTAGATTTAAAAATAGCAGTTAAGTGTCAAAATACTAACTGTATCTTACGTTTCCTGTCTAATTTAATATTCCCTTAACAATGTTTAATTATTCCACAAACACAATAAGATACAAGCGTCGTAACGCGACAGCGCACGCTATTAACCCGTCGCCCGCCACTGGCCGTTTAATTCAATTAACAACAGGGGTCGGTCCTTGTCGTACTTATAAATGGAACCTGTTGTTGTCCCTTTCACACGCTCTAATCTGCCTCCTTGCGGTGACCCCAGCTAGTTAACATGTTGGCCATTGTTTCGGAGATTTCAGAGGGTTGCGGGGATGAACTTGTCGACTTAGTACATTTGTCGTGGTCTACCGTATCCCTGTTACGTTTTGCTCGAAATTCGGGCGCCCACTGTTGAATTTCTTCATTACATTGTAACAAAGACGTTTCTGTTTAGATACGGATATTTGTAGCTACATTAAATGTTTATCTTTTAGCTGTTTATAATCCAATTTAGCGTCAAATACTGGATTTATGACTCTGTTTATAATAATAGCTCGTTTAACAATAAGATTAGAAAATTAAGAAGTGGTCAAATTTAAAATTTTGTACAATCGACTTCAATATAAATAAAATGAGAACATCATCAATTTAGTCGAAGTCTATGTCTATATAAAATTCACTGTAAATAAAATCTTTTTATTTACAGTGAATTGAGAACTTCCTCCTTTTTTGATGTCAGTTGAAAAATAAAAGTTTCTTCTTTATTCTATTTCCTCTTAACATTTTGTGTACTGAAGAATATATTTGTAGCAGAATCATATTATCTTACCTTTACCTTACCTCAGCCTATCAGCGTATCAAAAGTCTACTGCTGAACATAGGCCTCTCCCATAGATAGGAGGGATTTTGCCATAGTTGGCAACCGCAGTTTTGTTTTTAATTCTGCTATTATCAGGAAAATGTTTCTGCCTATCTCCTAGTTCAGTTTCCCTCTGTCGCCTCTTACGACGCCCACGGGATGATATGGGTGATATGGGGCAATGGATATTCTTACACCGCCACTACACGGTTAATCTATTAAATTAAGTCATATCTAATATTAAAAAAGGGATAAAGTTAAACGATAAAGTCGTTGTTTCAATGATTAAATTTCAAAAAAGTACAATCTGATATCAAGGTAATAAAAAAAAATTAAAAAATTGAACATAATTGAATTGCCTCTTCAATGCTAAGGCAGAATAACGAAGAAACAAAAAATAAAAGCGTCGAAATCGGAAGCCATTAAATTCTGTATTTTACTTTTTATTTTCTTTTTGGGGCCAGTTATTACTTTCTTTAAAGTGTAATTATTTGATGAAATGACCCTAGCCTAATGGCAGGGTGTGGACCGCGAACTCAAAATATGGTGGGTTCCACTCCGCCATTTGATTACTTAGCAGTATTTTAAGAGCTGGTAGTATTTAAAAAAAAGTTTAGGAATAGTAGTATTTAAAAAAAGTTATTTGATGCTATCATTACGATTACTTTACGGGCGGATTATTTCAAAAGAAATTAGCAAAAGAACTCTTTATTTTTATTTAATTTCCTAAATAGTGACTCCTTTTCAAAAACACTCTACAATTGGACTCTATATATTTCTCTAACACATGTACAGTCGAATTAAGAATCTCCTCCTTTAGATAGTCGTTCCTTGGTGGAGGCCTATGTTCAGCAGTGGACTTGTGATGGGCTATAAAGACGATAATAATGAATTAACATATGTGATTACATTGTTAGTGTGTATGTCGTCAAAGCTGTTTCATTATTTTACGGTGAGTCTAACATGAAAACGTCGTAAGTCTAATACAGGTAATGTAAAAAAGTTTAGTAGCTTCCGTTGTAGCGATTATTTTCAATATTTGTAAATACAACTTTTATAGAATAAAGCTGACAAGCGAGCACACATTCCACCTGATGGTAAGTGCTGTGGCCCATAGACATCTACACCTCTACTATTCTCGATTAAGAATCAAAAAGACGACTAAGATAGAATGCTTCGTTTCCAGTAAAAAATATCTGCGGTTCTCTACACTTACCATACGAAATACTGCAGTATTGAGCTGCTATTTTACGCTGGTATTCTATGAGAGCGTGGTCCTTCCCCGGTCGGGCCGACCCATTTGTGCTACAACCATAATATAGCTGCAGCATGGCTCTACCACGTAAAATATCAGGACTAATAGAAGATCGAGGAAGGCAACCATCAAAGGTCTGGCAATGGTGCTCGACTTTACAGAGTTAATAGTTCTGTATATTAAGCTTATTAAAACTCCAGGCATGGGTCTCCACAGGTAGCCTGAGAGGGTGGAAATTTGCTGTAATTAATGCTTGAAAGGCGGACTGAAAACCACAGTTTATTTCTTCATGTTAGTTGTTACTAGGAAGACGCTTCTATCCATCTCCTGGTTTTTCCCTTTTGTCACCTCTTACGACGTCACGAGACGATAGGTTAGTGGATGTTTATACCCTGCCACTACACGGCACAGGTGGCTCAGGACCGTGGTTTGTGGCATTCCTTGGGGGAGGCCTATTTGCAGCAGTGGACTTGTGAAGGGCTGTAATGATGACGATGATGATGGTGACTACACGGTCGAAAATAGTTGCAGTATATCTCCTCAGTAGATTTTAAGCTTAATAGAAACCAGTTATTTATATTACACACAAACATTTCAATTTTATTTAAGTATCGGTAGATTTACTACGCCATTACACCGGTGGCAT